CTGACAACAGAACACAGATCCAGACAAAAGCTTTCAGGCTCGGGCTCCAAAATGCTCACCTATACATATATATACACACAATGAGCTAAAGCCCAATGAATAACATTAAGGTATAGGGTTTAATGAACGAAATCCGAATAAATCATAAGCAGAAAACAATATAGAGCATAATCATTCTCATATCAGAACATAATAATGGTACATCCCATAGAACACAACACAAAAACGTCTTTCGACTAGAGTAATTTGTTTCGGATATTGATTAAACACATATCACCACAATGAAGTGGCTAACGAGATCTCGTAATTACTTGTATGTTACGGACCCGTATTTTCATGCCGTCCCCCATGACTTGGGACTATCTATGGATGCCATAATAGATTTCAAACTTGGAATATTCGTTCACGAAAACAGATATCATTTTAGAAATCAAAACTTATCATATTTCATTTGGAACGTAATTCATATGAACGTATTTTTACAATAACGTTACTCACAGTGGTTCCAGCAAATGATCAATCAATCTCCAGACGTTGACCTACAAACACAAAAGCACATAACACAAACATATCTTATCATTACACATTCAGGTGGCTATGAAGGCTTAGCTTTCATTATATTGGTTCTTATTCTTTCTTATCACATTGCCTAAAATACACACATTGCAGTCTCGGAACTTAGTACATTCTTTTCTTAGTGTGTTTCTAATCCATAACCTCATTATTATGGCGTAATTAAGGCTTAGGAACGCCTAAGATGCAATGAGAATGCCAAAACATGCCTTGGAACACTTAGTTCAAAATTTCTTAAAATAAGGTCTCCGCTTGAGCGTAGACTTCCTCACTTAAGCGTACATGCAAAATGAGAGGGGTCGCTCGAGTGTGACTTCTTTCGTTCGAGCGACCTGTAAATTTGGAAAAAAGTACTGGTTGGTCACAATCCACGCTCGAGCTACAACTCCCACGCTCGAGCGGAGCAACAACATGCAAAGGGTTCGCTCGAGCGTCAAAGTGGTCGCTCGAGCGGAGAGCTCATGACTGTAGAAAAATACTGAAAGCTCGCATTCTCCGCTCGAGCGCAGGTTTCCTCGCTCGAGCGGACTGTGAAATTCTGGGTTTCCAAAAACAGAGCTTGAGCTTCAAAACGCGATTTCAATGGCTACACTTACGCATGGCCTGTTTTTTAAGCTCAAAAACTTTCCTAAAACATTAACACATGGTTGTTTACAAATTCTTTTGCTCAAAACTCATGAATTTACCAATTTTGAACTCAAAAACTCTTGCATGAAAGATTTTCAAACTATGTTCTTGATTTTCTCAAAACATGCAAATGATGATCAACACACTCACGAAGTCTGAAACCATGAACATGATTAAAGTTCACATACATGCAAGGATTTTTAAAACTCAAACCCAAAATGATCAAATCAAAGATGATTCTACCATGGATGCTCATGAAAGCTATTTATGTGCTCAAAGACCCATTTTGTTGTACTCTCAAGAAAGTGGCTCAAGACTCATGAAATCGTGATACATGGAGGATTAGTTACAAAATTCAAACATAGAATCCTTACCTAGAGCTTGTTCCCAAAACATGAGAGGTGAATCTTTCTATTCCTCTTCTTTTCTTCAAACTTTTGAGCTTTCTCACTCTAAAGCCAAATCCTCTCTCTCTGGCTGAATTCTCTCAGTAAGGGAATGCAGAAAAGAATGCTACAAACACTCTCACTCTCAACTAAACAACCACAACACACACTCTCACACTTTGAATACACTACACGTGCATACACATGCATCAACCCAACACATCCTCAAGAGTTGCAATTCTTTACATTCAATATCACTATATGCCCAACTCAAACTTCTCAATACACCCACACAGATCCTCTGCACACACTCACTTAAGGGTTTCAATCGTCTACACTTCACTTCACAAAATGCCTTCATACACTACCCACTTAATCACATCTAGGATCATGAATAGGAGCAGATTAGAGATAAATTGTGCATCATCTTAGTTAGACACAAGTAACCTTAATCAGTCAAGGTTAGCGCATAATTCAATTAATCAAAATTAGTTCCAAATATTCTAGTCAGTCAATCCATGAACTCAAATTCGGTTTCTAAGAGTATTTAGGCTAACAACTTCAGATTCTAAGTAGAAACCATAACAGATAATTCTATGAATAACAGATAGAAAGCCAAATCATGAAGAATTACATAATAAACTCATAATCTATTCTATTCGCTTAGTTAGCATCCTTAATTACTGATTAGTAGCTAATTACGGATCGGGGTTATTATAATGGTAGATGCCATTTCTGTTCTCAAATTTGGCACGTAGAATAGCAGCTACCAAACATGCCATATTAGCAAATATGTACAGATTTGTGGCTCTAAATTCAGTTGAAAAAACAGAATTGAAACAGTAAAAAATCAAGTAATTTTCATAATCAATTCCCAATTTTCAGAATCAAACCGAAATTTGAAATATACAGCCAAATTCACAAATTTCACAATAAATTTTACAATTTCACAATAAATCTCACAATTTCAGAATCAATTTCAGGATTTCAGAATAAATATGAACAAATATTAGAATAAATTACAGAATTTCAGAATCACACAAATCTCAAAATCAATTTCAGAATCACACAAATTTCAATTTGGGAATCAATTTCAGAATCACACAGCAAATTTTAGAATCAATTTTACAAATTGATATAAATTTCATAAATGAATTTAACCGATAAATACCTGGAATGGGTTTGAGGACTTGATTGGAATTGAGCATCTTCTTCAACCGACTGGACTAGTTTTGGAGATCATAGATCTGTGATCGGTTTCAGGACAAAGAGAGAGATAGATTGAAGAGTATACTTGTTTGAGAGAGAGAGAGAGAGGGGGGGTTTGATGACATCGATAGAGAGACAGATCGGAGACGAAGACACACAGAGAGAGAAAAAGAGAAAGAAAGTTTGAGGATAGAGAAAGAGACACAAACACATAGATCGACGAGTATACTTGTTTGATGATATATATAGAGAGAGAGAGAGAGAGAGAAAGAGAGGCTGGAAAGGTTTGAGGACAGAGAGAAAGAGACAGATTGGCGACTATAGACACATTGGAAATAAATCGGTAATGCTGACTGTTGAGCTCAAACATAGAGACACAGAGACGGTTCCATGAAAGAGAAGGAAAATGGAAGAGGAAAGTGAGAGTCAGAGTAAGAAAGAGAGAGAGAGAGAGAGACAGACAGAGAGAAGCTTCGTCTATAGAGGAGAGTGAGAGTTAGAGTGAGAAGGACACAAAGAGAGAGACAGAGAGAAGCTTCGTCTATGGAGGAGGGTGAGAGAAGATGAGAGTGAGAGTCAGAGTGAGAGAGAGAACCAGTGAAGACAATCGTTGTATGTCTTGGAATTGAAAAGATAATTCTAGAGATACAATCTCAGCCGTTGGTTAATGGTAGGTGGACAGTGGGGATCTGTGTTGTCTAGTCAGGAATAATATAAATGTATATATTTTTTTACAAATAGTTAAAAAAAGGTCACAAAAGATAAAAAATAAATAAAAATAAAAATCACAAAAAACCTATATCCAAACAATACCTACAAATTTGGAGGAAAAGTTGATTGAGAATTGCTAAAATAGCAAGTGACCATTGGAGTACTATTGTTACAATTTGACAAAATAATACTATTCATTACCAAATTATAGCAATAGTATTGATATTATAGTAACAACTATTGGCGATACTCTTAGATGTTAGATGTTAAAAGCTAATAAATTAGATAATATCAACAAAAAATAAAAATTACAATTGCTATGTAAAATACTGGACTAATTGCGTGTCTCGCCCCATCTTATTCAGGTTCGTTTGAGATGTGGGTTGATATTTTAGTTTTTTTGGCTATTTTAGATTGAGATTAAAAACCCTCGTTTGGGATAGATTTTTTGGTTTTTTTGACTTTTGTGAGAAAAAAAATGAAATGATTATGGTTTAGATATGACATATTGTCTTGTTGAGTTAAAAAGTCTATTTTGTCTTTTTGTTACTATTTTAACAAAAAAAAATCCATTTTAATTTATGCCAAACAGAGACCCATTTTAATCGGGCTTTGAGTTTTTTAATGCTATTATTTTGTTAAAGAATATTTTAAAACAATTGTTAATTAAGGGATATTTTAAAAAGATAGTTAGCCTCCGTTTGGGAAGTGGGTTGACTTTTTGGCTTTTTGGCTTTTTTGGCTATTTTAGCCTGGGCTAAAAAGCTTAATTTGGGAAGGACTTTTTGACTTTTTGGCTTTTTTGACTTTTTTTGTGAGAGAAGAATGTAATGATTATAGGTTGGATGTGATGTTTTGTTTGTTATGGTTAAAATAGTCTATTTTATTTTTTTTGGCTAAAATAGCCAAAAAAACCTGAAAAAGCCCTTGCCAAACACAGGCTTAGAAGTTATTTTTTTGTTTAAACTATTTTGAGTCACATCATCTATCATATTTTTTACATATTTAAAAAAAAAATTAAGAAACTCAAAAAATTAATTTTTAACTACTTCCTAAAACATTCCTAAATTAATCAATGGGCGCTGATTGAGGGCCCGAGGCTTCGGAAAGCCCTTGCCAAACACAGGCTTAGAAGTTATTTTTTTGTTTAAACTATTTTGAGTCACATCATCTATCATATTTTTTACATATTTAAAAAAAAAAAAATTAAGAAACTCAAAAAATTAATTTTTAACTACTTCCTAAAACATTCCTAAATTAATCAATATTCTTCCAACATTTTTAACCGTAACAAACAAAGACTTTCTGTTTTTGATTTTGTTTTTTTTTTTTTTAAATATACGAGGGGAATGGAATACGTCCTTCTATGGCGACAGAATCATATCTATCTATCAATTAAAACAATGCAACAATTTAATTTAATAACCTGATTTATTCAAATAATAAACTAGCAAAAAGACAATAATCCCTTCCTATATCACTCCACCTCTGTCTGCAGTTACTCATCACTCTCACTCCTCTACTCTACTCTCTCTCTGTCTGTCTCTCTCTCTCTCATGGCTCTGCTTATCCACAAACCCAGTCTCCTCTCACTCCTCTTCTTCATCTTCATTTTCATCTTCAGCACCACCATAACTGTTTCATCTGATCAGACGGTGAAAACCTACATCTTCCGAGTCGATAGGTTTGCTAAACCGTCCATCTTCCCAACCCACTACCACTGGTACACCTCTGAGTTCACCGACCCAGTAAACATCCTTCACGTGTACGACACAGTCTTCCATGGCTTCTCTGCTGTTCTCACTACTTCTCAAGCCGGTTACGTCCTTCAACACCCTTCTATTCTGGCCACGTTCGAAGATCGCCGGAGACAACTCCACACAACTCGGTCACCCCAATTTCTCGGCCTGAGAAACCAGCGAGGTCTCTGGTCCGAATCCGATTATGGGTCCGATGTGATTATTGGGTTGTTTGATACTGGAATTTGGCCTGAGCGAAGAAGCTTTTCGGATCTGAATCTCGGCCCTGTTCCGAGTCGGTGGAAAGGGGTTTGTCAGATCGGAGATAAATTCAGTTCGAGGAGTTGTAATAGGAAGATTGTTGGAGCGAGATTCTTCTCCAAAGGTCATGATGCTGCGGGGATGATCGGTGGCGGAGGAATCAACGACACGGTTGAGTTTCAATCGCCGAGAGACGCCGACGGACATGGGACTCACACGGCTTCCACCGCCGCCGGAAGGTACACTTTTAAGGCGAGTATGGCTGGTTATGCTGCCGGTGTAGCCAAAGGGGTTGCTCCCAAAGCTCGGTTGGCAGTGTACAAAGTCTGCTGGAAAAATTCTGGATGTTTCGATTCAGATATTTTGGCCGCCTTCGACGCCGCCGTGAACGACGGCGTGGATGTCATCTCGATCTCGATCGGGGGCGGCAACGGTATTTCATCGCCGTATTATCTCGATCCAATCGCTATTGGGGCTTACGGAGCGGTTTCGCGAGGCGTTTTTGTGTCATCCTCTGCGGGAAATGACGGGCCTAATGTGATGTCCGTGACGAACCTCGCTCCATGGCTGACCACTGTCGGAGCGGGCACAATTGATCGGAATTTCCCCGCGGATGTAGTCCTTGGGGACGGAAGAAAGCTGTCCGGCGTATCATTATACGCGGGACAGCCTTTGAATGGACAAATGTATCCTTTGGTTTATCCCGGTAAATCAGGGATACTCTCTGATTCGCTCTGTATGGAAAATTCACTCGACCCGAATCTTGTGAGGGGCAAAATTGTCATATGCGATCGCGGAAGTAGTCCTCGGGTAGCGAAAGGACTGGTGGTGAAGAAAGCCGGTGGCGTGGGAATGATCCTCGCCAACGGGGCCTCCAATGGTGAGGGCTTAGTTGGCGACGCTCATCTTGTTCCGGCTTGTGCAGTCGGAGCAGATGAAGGTGACCAAATTAAGTCCTACGTTTCATCATCTCCCACCGCAACAGCAACAATCAACTTCAGAGGAACCATAATTGGGATCAAACCTGCACCCGTGGTGGCTTCCTTCTCCGGCAGGGGACCCAACGGGTTAAACCCCGAAATCCTAAAACCCGACTTGATTGCTCCCGGTGTCAACATTTTAGCCGCTTGGACCGATGCGGTTGGCCCGACTGGTCTGGATTCCGATATCCGAAAAACCGAATTCAATATCTTATCGGGTACTTCCATGGCTTGTCCGCATGTTAGTGGAGCTGCGGCTTTACTTAAATCCGCACACCCGGATTGGAGCCCGGCGGCGATTCGGTCCGCCATGATGACGACAGCGAGCATATCGGACAATCGGTTCCAACCCATGATCGATGAAGCCACTACCAAACTATCCACTCCTTATGAATTCGGGTCTGGACATCTCAATCTAGATCTCGCCATGGATCCGGGTCTTGTTTATGATATAACAAACGATGATTATGTGAGCTTTTTGTGCTCGGTTGGGTATGGACCCAAGACAATTCAGGTGATCACACGATCACCAGTGAATTGTCCAAGGAAGAGGCCATCGCCGGAGAATCTGAACTACCCTTCGATTGCGGCATTGTTTTCGAGCTCACCTTCGGGTGTTTCGAGCAAGACATTTATTCGGACGGCTACGAATGTGGGGCCGGTGAATTCAGTTTACGGAGTGAAGGTTGAGTCGCCCAAGGGGGTGACGGTGACGGTGAAACCACCGAAGATGGTGTTTTCGGAGAGAGTGAGCAGGGTGAGGTATGCTGTGACTGTGACTGTAGATAGGAAGAATTTGGTGTTGGATGATTCGGGTGCTGCATACGGGTCGGTTTCTTGGTTGGATGGGAAACATGTGGTTCGGAGCCCCATAGTGGTTACCCAAATGGATCCGTTGTAGTTGTTATGGATCTGGTGGTGTTTGATCGAGATCAGACGGTAGATAGGTGGGTAGGTATCTGATGGGATGAGTTTGAATAGTGAGATAGGCTGCAGTGTATGGTAGCGTAACTTTGCTACAAATAGTAGTATTTTTATTTTTTCCTTTTTGGGTGTGAAAAAGGGTAGGATTATAACTGGAGGTGTGTTGTAATATTTTCACTTTAGTCTTTTTTGTTTTGCTTTTTTGTTTTGTTTTTGTTTTTTTTATTTTTAATTTTAAGCTTATAATGTATAATGCATCTATAGATTATAGACTTTTGAAGCTCATGTAATTAGGGTGTATTATATACCTATCGTTTGATAAAAAAAATAAAAATAAAAATAAAAATATTAGAAATTTTAAAAATTTTATCATATGTCTCACATGAGTGTGGGGTTCACATGGGATCCACATTGTGTGGGTTTCACAACATTTGATAGAAATTTTGGTAGGATTTTAGAGTCTCTAGCGTTACTAAAAAAAAAGAAGGAAAAAATTCCTTTTAAAGATGTATGTATATATGTTTGTAATCTGTAAATTACTGTTAAACGTGTAAAAAAGCAAAAAGAATTAAAACAAAACTTTTATCTTTTTGTATTGATTTTTAATTTTTTTGGGACTAATTTAGGTGTATTTTGACAATTAAAAAAAAAGTCAATTTATTGACTTATTGATTTATTTGGGTTAAATCACATTTTTATTTATTTTTATATGTTATAAAAAAAATCAAAAAGTTAAGAAAAAAAAGTCAATTTCAAAAATAGGTTAATCAGTTTTTAAACATGGCCTCAATTTGCACATTAAATTTGTCTGGAAAGAAAAAATTGTATGAAAAGAAAACTGAAGCAGAAGTTTTTTAGTGAAAAATATTAAAGATGGTGGAAGCACATCTAAACTATGGAGAGGTCTAAGATGGCGCTAAAAGATGGAGGAAAAGTTTCTAAAATTCCTTGCATTGTATATGAAGGTGATGGAAAGATTAATTGTTAAGGTTGTAAAGAAATAAGAGTGAAAGGGAAGGAAAAAAAATAAAATAAAAAAAGCTATTAAATAGTTGGAGAATATCACTTAAGATTATTTATATACTATTTTGAATCATTATATAAATGATGTCACATAATATTAGCGAGACAATGAGCTAACTGTCTTCCTCTTTGTTGAATTTGAATTTCAAGATTCTTGCCGCTAGTGCGTAATAATAATGCAAAAGAAGATAACCAAACCAAGTAATCATTTACCCGAAACAGGTAAAACATGTTACTTGTTTTTATTTGTTTAGATTGGTAGGTCAAAGGATTTTTAACTTTTCAATAATGTCATTATTTCACATTTGACCTGGTGAAAAGTTCTTTGGAATGTAGGTTAATTTTTGGAAAATTTATTCATAAGTCTTAATTTCTGAAAAGTTGAACTATTTAGTCCTAAAAGTTTTTTTATGCTCCATTTAGTCCCATTTGCACATCAATCTAATGTTTGAAACATTAATCTGATGTTCGAAATCTAATGTTCGAAACATTAATCTGATGTTCGAAATCTAATGTTCGAAACATTAATCTGATGTTTGAAACATTGTAGTGGGATCTTTCAGTCTATAAGAAAACTTTTAGGACTAAACAGTGTATAAGTTATTAATTTGGGATTTATTGGTGCATATAATGTTTTTGACTTTTTAGTTATTTTAATTTGAGGTTAAAAAGTTTTATTTGGGAGAAAAAATAAAATGATTATAGTTTGAATGTAATATTTTATCTTATTGAGTTAAAAAATTTATTTTGTATTTTTATAATTAAAATAATCAAAAAATCTAAAAACCTAACATCCCAAACAAAGACTATGTATGAGCCCTTTTCGTGCCTTGTGCGAATGAGTGGCTGTCAAATATTTTTTCCCCTTATATTAACATTAAAAGTATATCTTAATTTATTAAAATTTTAAAATATTGAGATTCTCAATTTTAAAATTTTCTTTTGTGAGACTTAAATAATTGAGTTAAAAAATTTATTTTGTATTTTTATAATTAAAATAATCAAAAAATCTAAAAACCTAACATCCCAAACAAAGACTATGTATGAGCCCTTTTCGTGCCTTGTGCGAATGAGTGGCTGTCAAATATTTTTTCCCCTTATATTAAACATTAAAAGTATATCTTAATTTATTAAAATTTTAAAATATTGAGATTCTCATTTTTAAAATTTTCTTTTGTGAGACTTAAATAATAGATTTAAGGGTGGGTTTGACATCTAATTAAAAATGTCATACTTTTTTGAATTTTTTTTTTTGTTTTTAATGGATTTTTTTTTTTGAAATTTTTTTTTTTACTTTTTTAGTTTTCCTAACCGAGTAGAGCTTAAAACTAAAAAAATTTTAAAATTTTTTTCATTAAAGATTAGAAAAAAAAAAAAAATCACAAAAAATTATTAAAAGAAGTCAATCTAACACATCCTTAAATGATCTAATGTTTGACTCATATTGTGAGTTTTCTTTGTGGACTTATCAAAATCATGCTTTCTCATATCAATTAACTATTTTGAGAAAAAAATATATTAATATTTATAAAATGATATGATGTTATTTTATTAAGAATTGACATTGAACCAACTTGACTTGTTCCAACTTGTGAAATTGATGCCCAAGCCTATCTGTGAACTAAGAAGCATGCTTTGTTTTGGGCAAACTAAAGTTGGGTTAGCAAGTTTCCTTCCACGAGCAATCAAGTTGGGCCAACTTCAACTCCTAACACCAATCCCAATCTTATTTGAGTTGGCTTGGTTGTTACGGATTTGAATCGAATAAAACTTGGACAAACTTAGATAAGATCATAATTTTTTTGATTAAATGATGACTTTTTATTATTAAATTATATGGTATGAATAGGTAGACCCTAATGCTGTGTTTGGTTGAGGGATTTGAGTAGGGATTTGGAAAGGAAAATGGAAAAGATAGGTGAAATGTGAAAAAAATATACTTACATTTCACATAGTTTCACATACCTTTTCCGTTTCCCTTTCCAAATCTCTCCCTAAATCTCTCAACCAAACACAGTATAAAGAAATGCACTAGGACCCCTGACAAAGATAACTATTATCCTATATCATCACAATTATTGTATAAACACTCCAAAACTTGAATAGAATAATGGTGTGATTTGTTTACTTTAATCAACAGTAATATTAAAAATATTTTTTATGTAAAATTTAGGGATGTTTTTTCATAAATCTCTTTTCACCTATTTATATGCTATTTAGTTTACATTATTTTCTTATATTCCAATAAATTCTATGAGTGACATGATTACTAAAATACCCCTAATAATATTTATATTTACAGTGTGAATGTTTCGTAATGTGAATGTTTATACTATCAATGTGAATATTCACACCATCAACGTGAATCTTAACATATCAATGTGAATATTCACATTGTCAAATATGAATGTTCACATTACCAAATTACTAACCGTTCAAAAAATATTTATAAGGGTGAAAATGTCCATAAAATACCTTAAATATGAGAATTAAGATTTAGTAGATCAAATGTCTAAATAATAAGACTTATTAAAATATAAGAATATCTTATGAACTAATAGGGATCCATATACTTGAAAAATAATTTTCTAATAAATTTCTCAAAAATTTAATATAGAATAATATAATTGTTTGTGATCTATTTATTTTAAACTGTAACATTTATTATTATGTCTCATAGTTATATATCATTAATACATTATTCTAAGGTGTTTGGAAACCAAACATTTTAATAAAAACAAAATAATAATATAAGGTATCAAATCATTCTCTTTATTTTTTTATACGTCGTTTTGTAAAAAATTATTAAACTAATTAATTCTTAAACAAGTCTTAAATACAATTAGGTAGTATTTAGTTTACTGAAATGAAATGATCAATTTATCAAAAATTTCATTTCCATATTTGGTTTGGCTAAAAAGGTAATATTATAAATAAAATCATCATTCATTATTTTAAAAGAATAATCATTCTGTACGAGAGCCAAATATATATATATATATATACATTATCTCATTTTTTTAATGAACCAAATAGAGCGTCTAGATATACAAATTCTATTTATAAACTAATTTTCATTAATCAATCATGGTACAAGTAGTACAAAGCACAGAGGTGAGTGAGATACTTCAATACTTGGATAGATACCGACATTCCAAAAAAAGCAGTGGGCTCACTCCATGGGACAAAGTAATACGTGGAATCCACACAACAATCCGCCATCGTAGGAGACCATATGGTCCGGACATTTAACACACACAAATGCATAAATACAAACCTTAATCAATTTGGGTTGTCCCATTTAATCAAGCTGTATTACTTTTATGTGATGGGTTCAAACATTAGTTGGGATTGGACTAACGATTAAAAATTTCAATTTCATCACTTTTCTTTTGAGGTTTCTGTAAAATCATCACTTTTTTTTGGGGGTTGAGGTTTACTTGAGTAAAATTCTAAATATGTACGTGTCATGTTTTTGAAAGTTTTTTTCATTTTACTTTTTTGGACTGTGTTCACACGGATGGTTCCGATAGTGACAAGGAGAGTAAATTCCTCATTTTATCACAATAAATTTTTGGGTGTTTTTTTGTTCATCCTAGATATTTTGTGTGTGTAGTTTTTTTTTTTTGTTACAGGAAAAATTCTCCCACCCTTCCGCAGGTCTAAGGCAGCGCCCCATGAGGAGATCACTAGGGTGTCCTGTTGTCCGTTCCGAGTAAGAGATTATAACCTGGAAGCTTGTCCCGACCTCCCAATGCAAGCTTCGAGCAGGACTCGCACAGCGGAAGAGCATTAAACCCACACCAAGTAACTGATTAGACATTCTTGAGGTCCAACCTGTGTGTAGTTTTTAACTTTTTCGCTTTTAACTTTTGACATTTTTGTAAAAAAGAAGAATAAGAAGCTTTGTATGTAGTGTTTCCAGACACCCGCGAATGTTGATTTTTACAATTGATTTTTTAATTATAATTTAGTCATTTTATTCAAATTTTTATTAACTTTTTTTTCCCTACGCATTCACTCTAGGAAATTGATAAGCGATCCAAAATCAATAATTTCAACCTTTAACTTGAACGAAAATATAAAATTAAAACTAGATTAAATTATTCAATTTTAAACAATAGAGATTAAATTGATATTTAAGTCAAACAATACAAGTTAAAAATATAATGTTGGAATAATTCAGCTTGAATTCTTCAGTTGGTAGTCTTCAGGTCTTCAAAACTTGGCGATAATTTTGTCCATGTAGAATAGAAATTTGG